AAAAAACATCTTTCAAAAGGACTTCCAGCTAACGTTATTACATGATATATCCAAAAAGATGATGAATAAAAATGGGATGAAAACTTGGTATGAGTAAGTATATAAAGAGATCAGGTGACAATCAAAAGAGCGAGCTTTTTAAGTAATGGATAATTTTGAAGCATATAAAACAGAAAAGTAAAATATCTTTGTCAAGAAGAAAATACAGATTTATGTATTGTTCCATCACTAGTATAACCATTAGATGTTTGACTTCATTCAAAATGATGTTAATGGATATCAACAGAAAGTTATAATATTATGGCAGCTGGCAATCTTCAAAATCAAATTATTATATAATATGTAATTGAATTTTTGAAGCATGACAAGAAATTCCATCAATAATGATTCAAAAAATGCAGTATTCCTAATGTTCTAGATGGTACAGAGAATGATATTATTTGAAAAGAGGCATAGGAAAAGGGAAAGGAAAAGGAAAAGGAAAAGAAGGAAGAATAAGAAATAATTAAAAAAGAAAATGGTTCAGCAGAAGAAAGTGAATTAGAATAATAATTATATGTATTTTTATATTTATTTAATACATATTTATCATATCGATATATTTAATAAATTTTAAATGGTGCTAAAGAAATCACTAAAAACGGAAGTGGTGCTTAAAATTGATGGTTTACGGTAATAGTAATACATGAACAAAGAATTGGTATTTATTATATATAAATAATTAATATTGAATATTTTTTGTTAAAGTATTACAAGTCAACCTCTCTATAACGACATTAAATATCCAGGTTAATTTGGTCACTATAAAAGAGAATGTCATTATATAGAGGTCAATTTTCCTATAGTAATATATGAATCATTTTAGACAATTTTGATCGTTATAAGAGAATTCCGTTATTAATCAGTAACATAAAAGACTGCATTTTGCATTAATAAAGTCCAATAGAAATTATGCTTTAAAATAAATCAATATCAGAAATGCTTCACATTTTTTTTACTATACTACATTTTTGATGATTTTATAATCATGTCTATATAGGATATAGCATTCTTTAATGGACAATTTACAATTACGTAATTGATATTTGTTTTGTTCTTTATCATATTTAATGAAAAAATGTCCATAAATACACTTTGAAAAATACGTATTTACACTAGCTACAATGTTTGTTGTAGGAGAAACAAAAAACCAAAGAAACATATAATACTCTAAAATAGATTGTTCTACTTTTAATAGATCAATGTTCAGCCTAAAAAAGTCCAATACTAATAACAATACAACTCATCTCTATTATAATATCATTCACGCAAAATACATTGACTGTTGCAAATTTTCGTGCAAATCCGGGATTACTTGGTCATTGCCATTTTCTGGATACAATCGTATTCGGTTCGCTAATAGATCCGCGTATGCAAGTGAGGGGACAATTGAGATCGAGGAGGTGCATCTAAAAATAGTAAAATAAATTGTATTATATGAAAAGAAAAAGAGAATTTCTAGGATCAAAAGAAAAAAATGTCACCTTTGATACAAATAACTGAAATAATAAGTCATTTTTTGAACATCGTCTGCAGTGAATTGATTTTCGTCATGGAGCACGAAATAGTGCACGGGTCTAGTGGTGCCTTGGAGTCCACTATGACTTAGCAAGT